GATTTCTATGCCACCTCTTCAGAGTTCTGCTTAAGGCAGTTTACAGTTAAAAGCCCTTCCGCCCGCTTCCCCCCCTCCCCAGACCCCAGGGCTGTGCTGCATGTGGCAGCTTCTGGGCCGGCTTAACGGGTCTTCGGTCAGGTGGTACACAAGCACCAGCCTGCTCGCAGCCTGGTCACCAATGTGGCTTGGGCCTCGGCAGCCCACAACAGCTGCACCAGCAGCAGCAGGAGTGGGCTCGGGCTGATGACCTCATGGGCATTGAAGGGGCCAGGGTGCCCGTTGTGTCAGAGGAAAGCAAGGCCCATCCCCCCTTTCTCTCTGCCCTCCCCATACCACTTGGCTCTGCTGCATCCAGCGGCCTCTGGGTCACCTCAATGGCTCTTTGTCCCAGCAGTGCACCAGCCCCCGCAATGAATTGGCCGGAGATGAGACAACCTGCACGGGAGTGGGAGGAAGGGGCTCGGCCAAACGTCCACCTGCCAGTCCGGCAGCTCCGTGCATACTGAGGGCAAGCTGGTGGCCGGGGCTTGTGTGGGCAGGACCCCGTAACGCAGCCAGCCAATGCAGGCAGCACCTTTGGAATGGCAATTCAGGCAGCCAACTGATTTTGGCATGAATAGAACGTTGCCACCCCAAATCGCTTTTATTAATAAGGAGAGATATTCATGCTGCGCACATGAAACATACACATACAAGATCTATAAAAATAAAGAGAGTAGTGGGATAATAGTGGGAGTTGAGGTGATAGCTACCTTTCCTGGAGACAACCTTGAAGAAGGAAAAACAGCAAAATGTCCAGCGCTTCACTAAAAGGAAGGACCCAGAATACTGGGGGTGCATATTAATGGGTGGCTGGGGTAACACATACTGGAGTTACGCTGGGCTATTTCTACCCAAAAATGTGTCCAGAGGGGTTGCTAATGTGAGGGATCCCTCAGAACAAAGAATTTATGAGATTAATTAGGGCTATGATGGGATTACTCAGGGGTATGACAATGTAGCTTTGAAAATGTGATAATGAGTTTCCAAGACTGGAGAAAAGAGGCCAGAGGTTTCTTCTACATGTAAACTAGATGTTGGGCTGGGTTCCTGATTAGTACTCTGGGGTTCAGAAGACTAATGGATTGCTAATCTAATCAAAATGGAAACAATACTGCTTGATCTTGGGGTGTGGTAAAGGGGTAAAAGTCATTATCAAAGATAAGCAGGAAGGAAAAATGAGATCAAATTAATGCCAATCTACAGTTGTAAACATCAGACTTATTCTAGAGATGCTATTCAATTTTGCAACCCATCATTTCACCTTGAAAGACCCGTTTTACAATCATGAATTTTCTTGTGTTAATTAAAACTGTATGGTCTTCAGATCTGTACCACTTTCAGTTTCCTTGCAAGAATTTCCAAGAAACACACACAATTTTAAAAGTTTTATCACATCACTTGCTTATACATTTCATATATATAGTATAAAATGTGTGTTCGTGTGTGTGTTGTTAAAAATGTCTAAAATGCCATAAAATTGCATCAGCACAATCCTTTGCCACTCACAAGTTGGGGGGAAAATCTGTGTGAATAGAATGATCAATGAGAATCTCTGGCAGGAACAAGATTGCATTCAGTTATTTTGAAAGAAGACGAATATCATCGGAATTCCCATAAAGATAACTGCTGGGAAGGAACAAAAAACCCAAATATCTTGCAGAAGAATGAAAATGAGAAGATCAAAGTGTCGGAAATTATAAGAGGCATTTTGTGGAGCTGACATGACTCTCAACCTCTTGGTTGACGCTTGTCACTCATTAAAGTAATTTTGATGCCGTACACAAATTAGTTTGTGCTGCTTGTGCGTTAAAGCCTCCGGCTCAAAGGGGTGGATACAAATTCATTGAGGGGCCAGCAGGGGACACAGACGAGATGGTATAAAAAGGCTCCCTGGGCTCGGATCTTCCAACAGCTTCACCAGACGCTTCTTCCTTCTTTCGACTTCTGGTCTTTGGAGACGTTGGTAAGTGACATCTAACAAAACCTGATACAATTCCAGTGGCATTCAGGGTGACTTAAATTTGATTGCAAGCTTCTTTCTCTTAAATTATGTGTATTTGTTGCATATGGAGATTCAATAATATAATTTCCATTTGCTTAGTCATAGAGTCTAACTGGGCTTTGATCGGGGTGGATCCAGTCTTCCTTCCAGGATCCTTCTTCCAATTAAAAGGGCTCTTTCTTAGAACTGAGGAGAACTTGGGTTGGAAAAAGTCTCCTTAAACTGGATGAAGGATTGAACTTTTGGTCAGCAGAGTGTAGGATCAACTCCACTGATATTGCGTGGTCCATATTATGCTCCACCTCTTTGACATAATAACCAACACATTTTTTCTTCTCCCTTCTGCCTTTCAAGAGACCTCAGTTCTTGCTTGTCCCCAGAATTAAGCTTTGCTGGTCTTAAAGGTGCCACTGTACTCAAGCTTAGTTCTCTCATTGGATAACTCTGTTATTATTCACATGCAAATTTGCTCCTATTCACAGGTCTCACCAACAATTTTAGTCCAATCTTAGCTAAACTGATCTCTAATTGACTCTAATTACCCTACCTGCCAACTCCCCCCTCATCCTCTTTCTCTAACTATATTTAATGGTCACGGAAGTCTTGCTTCAAGGTATCTAAAGAGATGTGCATGCACATAAAAGGTAATGTTCTTAAAGGTGCCATCGGGCTCAACTTTTGTTCTGTTGCTTCAGAACAAAATGGCTACCCACCTGAATATATGAGAGGAGGGACAACTACAAAGGAAGGTCAAACTGTGCATAGTTTTGAAACATGAGCATGACCTTTTGGCTGAGGAGGCTGTGATCGGATGGAGGTCTGAGACATTCTTTAACCATATATTGGTTAGTTCATATGGTTTTGAAGAGAAGGGCAATGCTGGGTGTTAACCTGTTACGAGGAAAGGGCTCTTCTTTTTGTTGATGAGCCCAGGAGTGGTCATTTGGTGGCCCTTCACAAATTCCCTTGACTATTTATGAATGGGTTTTTATGGTTCATAGGCACCAGTCATCCTTTGGGAGGTGAGAAGAGAAACTGCTGGCCAGGATTATACAAATCTTTCGCTATATACTGTGAATGAGAGTTTCATAGAGGTTCAAAATCAATTATTTTACTGTTCAGTTTTGAAGCTCTCTTGGCCTGCAGAGATGAAGTTTGTGCTGCACTGTTCCTATACTCATTCCTTTTGTGATAAATGAGAGGGAAGCATTCTAGAGTTGCTAACCTCCAAGAGAGGAATGGTGATTTCACAGAATGACAAGTGATCTCCACCCAGCAGAAATCAGCTCCCTTGGAGGGAATGGCCACATTAGAGGATGGGTTTTGTTGCATTAAAAGGTAAAGGTTCCCTTGCTCGAAAGCCAGTCGAATCCGACTCTAGTGTTGTGGTGCTCATCTCCGTTTCAAAGCCGAAGAGCCAGTGCTGTCCGAAGACGTTTCCGTGGTCATGTGGCCGGCATGACTAAACACCAAGGCGCACGGAACGCTGTTACCTTCCCACCGAAGTGGTACCTATTTATCTACTTGCAATTTCTTGCTTTCGAACTGCTAGGTTGGCAGGAGCTGGAACTAGAGACGGGAGCTCACTCCATCATGCAGCACCCGGGTCTCGAACTGCTGAACTACTGACCTTCCACAGCCTGCAGTTCAGCGTCTTAACCACTTGATTCCCACCCCTTCCCAAACTTCATCCTTCCCAGGTTCTACCCCCCAATCTCTAGGAATTTCCAACTAACATTAAGTAATGTTAGATGAACAGACTGCTAAATGAAATACCATTGCTGAACCAATGAATGGGGACCCAAATTTCTGCTCAATTCCTGCTCAAGGTACAGCCGGAAATTCAACCTGGCAGAAGACGAAATCCATAATACAGCAGGGTAGAATTTCAAGTCAGATGAGCGATGAAAAAGTGAACAGTAGAAAGTCAAGTAATGTGGGGTTATCTTTGAGAGTTTAACTGAAGATATGCAAACACTGCTTGGGGGGCATGAAGGATGTGAAAATAAGAATAACCACAACTGCTGCCTCCTTTTGTTTTGTTTCAGATTCACCTCCATCAAACAATGTCTGGCCACTGTGGTCCCGAGTTCACTGTCCCATCTATTGCCTCCACCCCAAGAGTTGGCTTTGGATCGGCAGGGCTCGGCTTGGGAGCTCTTGGCTGTGGGTATGGAGGTCTGGGCTTTGCACATGGAGGACTTGGCCTTGCACATGGCGGTCTAGGTTATGGTTTTGGCTATGGGTATGGCCCTGCTGTGGCTGAAACTTCTGGCAGTCTTGGAACCCTGGCTGGAGTCAACCCTTCCTGCATCAACCAGATCCCACCTGCAGAAGTCGTGGTCCAGCCACCCCCCACTGTCTTGACCATCCCAGGCCCCATCCTTTCTGCTACTGGGGAACCAGTTTCTGTGGGAGGCAATGCTCCATGTGCCATTAGTGGCACTGGGGTGGCAGGAGCAGGCTTCTATGGGGGGCTAGGGGGACATTATGGAGGCTGGGACTGCGGCTCTGGTTATGGCCTGAGGAGGGGTACATTGCTTGGAAGAAGGGCTCTACTGGGACGTCGTGGCAGCATCTGTTGATTCCCCTATTCAACCTGAGAAGAATCTATGCACGATCCCGGTAATGATCAGGAACTGGAAGAAGAGACCCATCAATAAGTTTGAAAAGCTACGCTTGCAGAAACATCAGTGAACTGAAGAACTTTTGTGTGAACTCTCCATCTTTTCTTCTGCATGTCTATGAAGAATGCTGATATTTCTTGGCTGCTTCATTTCCCTCTCCTTGTGTAACTGTTCTCCTTGATTCTTTCTTCCATTAAAGCTCAGTCTGCATCCTAGCATCTGTGTCTTGGTTTTGCTTGTAAAAGTGCTAGATACTTTGATCTTCTAGAAATTCATCAGGAAATGTGGCCTTGTGAAGGGGAAGAACTGTAGACATTCAGCAACCACAATGTGGGAAGGTTCCAGTATCCTTTATATCATCACAAGAGATGCTTGTGGCTTAGTATCTTTACTGATGAACCTGAACAGCTTTGAGAAAGAACATGGAGTCCCTGACCTTGCTGCACAATGTTCATAGAAAGAATAGTTATGGGAGGCATTTATTCTGGATGACTCTGGTCTGACCTGAATCTGATATAAGTGTGCACTTAAGAAATCATAGAATCATAGAGTTGTAAGGGGCCATACAGACCATCTAGTCCAACCCCCTGCCCAATGCAGGACCAGCCTAAAGCATCTTCTGGGCATCTAGTCAGCTTTTATGTATCGGATCATTTAATTCCTGACAAGAGGAACAGCTCAACAATGTTTTTTTGTTTGCTATGGGTATAGCACACAGGTGCTGCTACTAAGCAATCTTTGCCTCCATCTTACCCTTTATAACACACTAGCAGTGAAGCCCGTTGTGAAAGCAATACAACAAGCTCTAGAAAGATGTGGTGTGTAACGAATGCATAGCCTGGATCAGGTCAAGTACATATTAGGAGTATGTAATAGAAAGGCACAAATGTAGAAGTAAAGTCTCACATATCTTTTGTTACACAATACCTGGTGTCCAAGGTCACACAATGTAGGCCAGAAAATGCAGCACACAGGTCTCCGTGGGGTCATTTCTACAGTTGGGCACCCTCTGTTTCTCCCTCTAAGCTGTGGAGTCTTGAGAACAAAAATCTTGCTTCCCAACTGACCATCAATGCACCGTTATCTGCCCCTCTAACTGCAGCTGACTTCTGCCCTCCCTCCTGGAGATCAGTTGTAATTCTAAGTGATCTCCACCCCTCACCTGGAGATTGGCAATAATGGTTCCCCAGGAAGAAATGGCTGGTTTAGAGGGTGGAGTCTATGGCATTGTACCTGTCTGAGGTCCCACCCCTCCTCAAAGCTCACCTTCTCCAAGCTCCACCCCTCAAATCTCCAAGAATTTTCCAACCTGGAGTTGGCAACCCTATCTCCTTCAAAGACAAGCACCAACCTGCCATTATCTTCCCCTCTGATTTCAGTTTTCCATCTCCTCCTCCTCCCTCCTGGAGATCAGTTGTAATTCTGAGTGATCTCCAGCCCTCACCTGAAGGTTGGCAAAAGTGGTTCCCTAGGAGGGACTGGCTGGTTGGGAGGGTGGGGTCTATGGCATTGTACCTGTCTGAGGTCCCATCCCTCCTCAAACCTCACCCTTTCCAGGTTCCATCCCTGAACTCATTAGGGATTTCCTACCTGGAGTTGGGAACCCTATCTCCTTCCCAGCCAATTATCAATCTATTTATTTCCCTCTCACTCTTTAGCTTTCCATCTCCCCCCCACCTGCAGCCTCCACTGTACTCTGAAGCCCTGACTGCCACGTCACATTGGCTGTCATGGGGGGGGATATGAGCAGGGTATAAGGACACAGAGTGCACTATTTTCTCCAGGGGAACTGATCTCTGCCATCTGGAGAGCAGTTGGAATTCTGAGTGATCTCCAGCCCTCACCTGGAGATTGGCAACAATGATTCTCCAGGAGGAAAATCAGTCTTTCTCTGCAATGGGCACCAAAGCAGGTATCATCATTCTCCTCTCCCCCTTTTGACTTGCACAACAACCCTGTGAGGTAGATTAGGCTGAAATTCTGTGACTGGTCCAAAATCATCCCCTCAGCTTCTACAGCAAAAACCTAGAACTCAGAGACCCAGCTTTGAAGCACTGATGGCTACGCCTAGGGTAGCCAACCTCCAGGTGGAGCCTGAATATCACCAGGTATCACAACTGAACTCCAGACAACAGATCCCCCCCCCCGGGAGAAAATAACTGCTTTGGAAGGTGGGCTTTATGGCATTCTGTTCAGCTGAGCCTTCTCCCTTCCCCAAACCCTGGCTTCCATAGGCTCTACCAGAAAAGCATCAGGAATCTCCCTTCTTGGAGCTGGCAACCCTAACAAGAGTGGCCCCAATGAGTTCCTCACAAAGGCCTGTGAAGGATTTCCTTCCTTTGTCTGAACCAAGTTTCGTTGCCCACCATGGTGAAACAGGCTCCAGTTTACAACTCAGCTGTTCGCCTTCCACCCTTGTCCCATGGGTGTATCTCACTTCTTATGTTTGCTGTCATCACTCACTGAATTGTCACTGCCTTTTTAGAGGGACACTGAGATCCCTCTGGCCGAATCTCCCTATCTGGAGATGGAATCCCCAATCTTTGGGGGATCCCTGGAAAGTTGGCAACCCAAGGATCTGGCCTTTCCTTGCCTCCTTGGGCCACCCCCTCCCTTTGTTATTGTGCAGAGCGGGGGAGACTATGTGGTCAGAGCATAACAGAGCATAACAGAGATTATTAGCCCAAAGAAAAGATTTTATCTAAGTATTTACACAGTTATGGAGCACACACACATGCTAAATAAATAAGGCACAGCTGTAGGAGTAAGGACACACTAAAAACAGGTTTGAGTGGATGCGGGGAAATCACATGAAGCTGCGGGGCAAAATGCGGTCACGCAGCCGCTTGTGTGAAATTGACACGTACCATCGGGCCAAAGAGAAGAGTGAGTCCAGAGCAGCGCTTGTGGGAAATCACCCTTACTCTGAGTCAGACATTGTTTTGTCAATATTGGTAATGTCTGCTCTGCCTGGGTGAAGCTCCCTAAGGTCTCCCTAAGGTCTCAAGCAGGTACAAAGCCATAGACTCCACCCTCCAAACCAACTAGTCCCTTATGAGGAACCATCGTTGCCAATCTCCAGGTGAGGGCTGGAGGTCACTCAAAATTACAACTGTTCTTTAGGTAGCAGAGATCAGTTCCTCTGGAGAAAATGGTGTCATTATACCCTGCTGAAGTCGTCACAGCAAATTGACACTGAGTGTCCAAGGTCGGGGCACCCGCCCAGAGCCTCTTTCTAGCGGCCGTTGTATTTATTTCCACAACAGGCCTTTTCCCTAGTATAAAGGGTAAAATGGAGGCAAAGATTGCTTAGTAGCATCACCTGTGCGCTATACCCATAAAAAACCAGAGACATTCTTGAGGAGTGCCTCTTGTCAGGAATTAAATGATCTAATTTAGAAAAGCTGAATAGATGGCCAGGATTTCTGAAGTTCACACTTTTATCAGATTCAGGCCAGACCAGAGTCATCCAGAACATAAACATGCCATAATAGTTCTTTCTACGAATGTGGTACAGCAAGGTCAGGGACTCTATGTTCTTTCACAGAGCTGTTCAGGCTCATCAGCAAAGAAGACAAGCCATGGGCATCCCTTGTGATGATATAAAGGACACTGGAACCATCCCTCATTGTGGTTGCCTAATGCCTAAACTTCTTACCCTTCACAAGAGTTACTGGTCTCTTCAAGGCCAAATTACCTGGTGCATTTCTAGAAGATCAAAGGAATTCTGTGCATGCTGTACACTTTTACAAGCAAAACCAAGACACAGATGATAGGATGCAGACTGAGATTTAATGGAAGAAAGAATCAAGGAGAACAGTTACACAAGGAGAGGGAAATGAAGCAGCCAAGAAATATCAGCATTCTTCATAGACATGCAGAAGAACAGAACACAAAATTTCGCTCAAGAGTTCTTCAGTTCACTGATGTTTCTGCAAGCGTAGCTTTTCGAACTTATTGATGGGTCTCTTCTTCCAGTTCCTGATCATTACTGGGATCGTGGATAGATTCTCCTCAGGTTTAATAGGGGAATCAACAGATGCTGCCACGACGTCCCAGTAGAGCCCTTCTTCCAAGCAATGTACCCCTCCTCAGGCCATAACCAGAGCCGCAGTCCCAGCCTCCATAATGGCCCCCTAACCCCCCATAGAAGCCTGCTCCTGCCACCCCAGTACCACTAATGGCACATGGAGTGTTGCCTCCCACAGAAACTGGTTCCCCAGTAGCAGAAAGGATGGGTCCTGGGATGGTCAATACAGTGGGGGGTGGCTGGATCACGACTTCTGCAGGTGGGATCTGGTTGATGCAGGAAGGGTTGACTCCAGCCAGGGTGCCGAGACTGCCAGAAGTTTCAGCAATGGCAGGGCCATACCTGTAGCCGAGACCGTAGCCTAGGCCTCCATGTGCAAGGCCAAGGCCTCCATGTGCAAGGCCAAGACCTCCATATCCAGAGCCAAGACCTCCATATCCACAGCCAAGACTTCCCAAGCCGAGCCCTGCAGATCCAAAGCCAACTCTTGGGGTGGAGGCAATAGATGGGACAGCAAACTGTGGACCACAGTGGCCAGACATTGTTTGATGGAGGTGAATCTGAAACAAAACAAAAGGAGGCAGCAGTTGTGATTATTCTTCTTTTCCCATCCTTCATGGCCCTCAAGCAGTGTTTGCATATCGTCAGCTAAACTCTCAAAGATAACCGCACATTTCTTGACTTTCTACTGTTCCCTTATTCATTGCTCATCTGACTTGAAAGACGGAAACTTTAATCTGTTCCACCCTGCTGTATTATGGATTTTGTGTTCTGCCAGTTTGTATTTCCAGGTGCACCTTGAGCTGGAATTGAGCAGAAATCTGGGTCCCCGTTCATGGGTTCAGCAATGGTATATCGTTTAGCAGTCTGTTCATCTAACGTTACTTAACCACACTATTTCTTTGGATAACTCCTCAGTGGTATTTGAAGGAGACGATTAGCCCATTTCCAAGACCATCGTTGGAAATTCCTAGAGATTGGGGGGTAGAACCTGGGAAGGATGGAGTTTGAGAAGGGGAGGAAATTTAGCATGGGTGTAATGCAATAAAACCCATCCTCTAATGTGGCCATTCCCTCCAAGGGAACTGATTTCTGCGGCTGGAGATCATATGTCATTCTGGGAAATCACCATTACTCTCTTGGAGGATAGCAACTCTAGAATGCTTCCCTCTCAGCTGTG